AAACGACGTAGAATACTGCCCTTTCCGATGCTTCACGGTGACGTACGTTGGCGGTAAACATTCCGATGACAGGTATCGGCGTTTTTGAACCATAAGGATACAACATGGTTTGGGGTTGATGGAGCTGTTCTGTGTGCGGTCGCGATTTGCGTAACTCGTCATATGATTTCTCATCAATGATGTTTACTGACGCACCGGAATCGATCATGAATTGCACAGGACCAGTGTTAAGTTTTATGCAGCATTGTGGTAGTCGATTTTTCCCTGATTGGGCTAGAGCGATTTGTTCACACGGCGGATATTCCCATACGGAATAAACGTATTCGTCCTCATCATCACCTGAAACTGTGGTGTTCGCCAATTCTGCGCATATTGCGTTTTGAGTCTTTTGACCTAGACGGCTCCTTTGACAGACTTTGCTAAAATGTCCGACAAAACCGCAAGCTGTGCATTCTAGTGATGTCCTGATGATCGATTATAATCGAAAATCGATCGATTATAGTCTCAAATTCGATAATCGATTATGAAAACAAATAATCGATTATCAAAAATACCAAAAAAAAAAATAATAATTTTTTAAAATTTACTAAATTGCGACATAGACATGTATTGGTAGCGAAGTAGAAGTGCATCAGTGTGTAGTCCAGAGGACACCTTCATGAATCACGTACTGTTAACATAGGTCCTCTCTGATTGCAGAGCGGTACTAGTGTACTTATAGACATGGACAAATTGGACAGTGTCTTTGTTTTGGTTTGACACTGTCCCACAGAATGTTATCCGTAGATGAGATTCTACTCTCCGTATTGTTTGTTACATTGTGTTGGAGAGGATATTCCATTGGCAGAACAATTAACTCGGCTACACAGCCTACACTATTAGAACACAAACAACTTACTTACTATAATAAAGAACAAGTCTTGATCATGTTTGTTTAAAACTTTTAATGTTTTAATAGAGGCATTTAAACCATTTCTTTTTAAATTGATTAAATACTGTATAGGAACAGACATTGATATACATACAGCAACCTTCACAGAGTTAATACATGATCATAAAACATGATAATATTGAATGCTATGTATAATTGTATATACAAAGTAAGATTAAATTAAATCTATGCTATTATTAACCGATTATCCGATTATAATCGATTATCGATCGGTTATGGGAAACCAATAATCGATTATGAAATTCCAGCCGATTCCCATCACTAGTGCATTCCTTGCCTATAGCAGGGCAGTGAGGGTCATTTTTGTGACGGCGTGTGAATCCGCTGCAGAAATAACAAGTTTTTGTGTGTTTGAATCAGGGTGAAAAACTGATAATTGGAGGCACTGGTCCAGCAGGACCAGTGCCTCTGAGGAAGCACTGGTCCTGGTCAGTAGGCACTGGTCCAGAGGCGTGTTCAGGAGAGCGAACGCTCGACTCGAACGCTCGCTGCATGAACGCAGCGCCTCTTGAACGACACACGAGCGCTCGCTGTGCGCTCGCTTGATCAAAGATGGCGGCCCCCATGGAGGGTTACTCAGCAGATTTTAATCGCGAGATTTTAGTGTCTTTGAACAAGTACTGTTAAACGAATTAGCAGACGAAATTGATACAAATTGAATTTAGAAGTAAATGAATGAATGAAAAATGAAATGAAGTTGAAATAGATTGCAAATTGACGTCAGAAATGTTAGATTCGCATTCGCCAGATTTCCCGTCGCCATCTTGTAAACAATTCTCGCGCTGAGCGAACAGCCTTCTCAGCTTGCGCGCGCGCTCGCGAGCGCAGTGTCGTTCAGAAGGCGAGCGCTCGTTCGCTCTCCTGAACACGCCTCGGGATTTCTGTCGTAGCAAAGTGAATGACTCAGGGGGGGGGGGATGTGGGGACGTTTTTATAGGGGGGAGGATGGTGCAATTTGGTGATGTGCATTCTAAGTTATTCTTAATAATAAATGGAATACGATATATAATACTAATAGGGCTTAAAAAACAAACAATATATAATATCATAATAATAGTGATAGTGATGTTCATTGTTAGATGGTGCTGCCATCTTCATGTACTAATACGCAATTTGATTCGGTTACATAATATGACAGTATCTTGATAGTGTAGATATATGCTCGTTTCTTTTCATCAGCAAATTATATTTTTTACTCGTTTCGATACACTGATGCGTAATAAATCGGAACAAGTCCGCAAGTCGATTTCAAAGATCAGCGGTCTCTGAAGACCAGCCATTAATTCTATAAATTATCATATTTTGTTACGCGATCGCTGATTGGTCAGGGATGCCCAGTATTATCGAATTAGCAGAGGTTTAACAGCATGACCTAGAAAATCGAACAAAACAAACATGGCGGGTTTTGGTACTTCGTATGGACTTTAGGCTTCGGAATTTGACTATTTTTAGTCTATATTTGATTAAATTTACCATTCATTTCATTAGAATAATGTAGAAGGCAGGCTTTCCAGCGGCCCTAAAATTCCAAAAATTTTGAGCTCGCCCTAAAATTCCTAAAAAAACTTTTAAAACGTATGCAATTCCTAAAAAAGGGCTAAAATTTTATTCAAATTCCTAAAAAAAAAATTTCACAGATATGTTTGGAGTTTTTGGTGATGAGATGATGAACTTTTGGTTTGTAATTATGGCTCAAGAGGTCGTTGTCGTAACAGGTACTAAAGATATGTACACGAGGTACATATATGTATACACAAAGTGTACCAGACTTGTACTACAGAAGTGTACCCTAACCCTAACACTAACCCTAACCCTAACCCTAACCCTAAACATACCTCATATAAAAATATAAACATAATACTAAACAACCTAAAACTACTTCGGGTACATATCTGTAGTACATATCTACCCAGACCCCCCTAGCACTGGCATGCCTACGGCACGCGGGCCTGCCTGCGGCAGCCAAGGTACATTTCGCCCCCCCATCAATTTCTGAATACGCCACTGATCACCGCGGGAACATTCCGCATTTGGAGTTCATAGGGTTGGAGACCCTGCTAATGGATGTTTTCTAGTTATCTTTATACAGAGTAAGTATTGTGACTCTCAGTCTACCAGTGATTCCTAAGCTTCAGTGTCTGATTATACGACCCTGTTCCTGGATTGGATGTACAAGACATGCCTAATTTGCATGAAACTTGATGATGTACAGTCGTATCGAGGACTTGGAGGATAGGAATAGCTGGTAGACTGGACACATACCACTTAGAACTGTATCTGTATGTTAACACGTTGATGTTTATGAAAGGTAATTGACTTATTTTATCCCTAAAATGTTTCGATTCATCCCTAAAAATTCCTAAAATAGCCCTAAAAAAACCTTAATTTCTCCCTAAAATTAGCCCTAAAATGTTGTAAAGGACTGCTGGAAAGCCTGAGAAGGTTAGTAAAGAATAACAAAATAATCAGTTTGGCAATTTTTTTATTTCCTGTGCGGCGATTATCTAGTCGCCCCGCCGGACCAGCTGACACGAGCAAACAGTCGCCCGGTCGATTTTCTAATCGCCACTGGCGTCTGGGCGACCGGTAGTTTCTCACGCTGTTGAATCCTGGCTGTTTCCGTGTGTTCGACTCTTCCCGATGTTGATGCTGCTGATAGCGATCTCTCCACATGGACCGATGTCTCTGATGGCGTCCACCAGCATCGCGAGGTCGGTGCTGCCCTCTATCACAACTGGCTGGTCTGTGTACAACATTTACGGACCATTTTTTTAGCGATTCCACTTTGTCGGATTGTTGATCACTTAGTTCTAGAGCTCAAGCTGCTGCGATTAATTGATCAAGTTTGAGATCTTGGCGTAAAGTGCGTCACCGTAAGGCTTGCGAGGAGCATGCCAGGATAATCTGATTGTTGATTTCTTTCTCGGTATCATCGAATCCACAAGACTTGGCGAGCTTCCGAAGTCGTGTGACATACATATCGATAGATTTACCGGCTTCCTGGTTGCACTGTTTAAACGTGTGCACCTCAAAAGCGGTGTTCGTGCGCAGCTTAAATTAATTTGTCAGCGCCTTAGCAGATACATCAAAAACCGTCTCATGCTCACCCGGATCCGGTATTGTAATTGCGTGTCATAAATTTTGTCTACTTCTGGGCCTGCATAATGTAGTAACAGGGCTTGACGTCTAGCGGGATCTGTGATGGCCATTCCGACTAGCAAACTGGTCAAACGTGCTAACCACTTGTCCCATCCCGATATTGCCATCTTGGGTTAGATCGAATGCTGGGAAGGTTGGGAGCGACATTGCATATGTTAGTTGGGAGTTTATTCAGCGTTTTGAGTGAAGCTGGTTCAGACGGCACACAATCACAAAGCTAGTGAGTTGGCTTCATAAAAGTTCGAATTACAGCTTACAATGCATTGTTCTGCATAAAATGTTCAGTTCTGCTCATTCTTGATGTATTGAAGAACATCTTCGTCGCCAGATGTGATGCTGAAGGCTGACTGAAATGACGATAAGTCTGGATTTAATCACAACACTTTTATTGAATAATTCTGCTAGCTACATAATGCTGATCATCTATTTTTGGCTGAACTTCCTGTTCCTGTTGGTACAGAGAACGCTCACCAGGGGAGAACCAAAGGGGGGTTTTGGAATTACATGAACACTACACATAATTATAGAAATTTCTAGCGATATACTATCATAATATATTCTAAAAGTCTTGTCTGCCTTTTAATTACCAAACATGGGGAACTTTGTGTCAATTTGAATTACTGTGTTCCTTAATTTTTTTCTTAAACAAAGCTAGGAACACATGAAGTGCTTGTTTAGAATAACAAAATAGCAAAATTTGAATTACGATGCAAGAATTTAATTTATGCAATTTCAATTATTTTTCATAGTTTTAGTTGGTATTTTATCCAAAAAACCATTATATTTTTACAGTACATACATATATTGTCGCATCATGCTGAATTTTTCAGCACCTAATTATGTGTTTGGCTGTCATAACCAATGTATTCAATACATTTTGTGCTGACAGAAGTTCATCTCCCAACTCACTGATGGCAATCAACGCACGCAGCAGCAACACCACCCCCACCCAGAGATAGGATTTGCTGGGGCTTTAGCAAGTATGACTAGTTAATGGGCAAGGGTTGTGGTTAAATGTGGGAGTTGGTGTCACAATTTTTGGCTCAGTATTTCCGAGAAATCATGCAAAACCTAAACGTATCTAAAGGGTGTTTGCAATGTAATATGTGCGTCCATGTGTCATCCTACTTAATATAACCTTAATACTTATAATAAAATTAAGGAAAGTATAATCAGTAGATGCAAAAATAATTAATTTGACAATCAAATGAAATTTCGTTTTTATATTTTCTGTACATTGCGCAGGGTGCGAAATTAACGGGAGTCCGGAGTCAAATACTCCCTGCTTTACTGTCGGACTCCCTGATTTGACATCTGCAGGAGTCCGTGGGACTCCATGAAAATTCTGCTATACTAACTAGTTCGTTCCAGAGCACAGCCTCACGGAATTACCGTATTTTTTCAGCAAATGTCCAAAGAAAATTTGGCAGACGTGCATCGCATGAATCTTCAAATATGCACATGTGTTATTGTTGTTGTGCTTTAGTTTTGAACTTCTGACTACGGACTCCTTCATTTTGCTACGAACTCCCTTGTTCAAAGGTTCATTTCTAACCCTGATTGCGTGGTGCATTTTTTTCTTTTTTTGACCGTGTTATAATAAGCGAGTTCGTAATTACAGTCTGCACATGCACGAACTCTGCCATGAATTCTGCGGGGTTAGGTCATTTGTAAAAAAAAAATTCGTATTTTCGACCACACAGTACACATACACATGCATCTGCGTCGTTGTAATGCTACAGTCTTTATGTGTGCACGTACACGTGCGTGCGTGCGTGTGCACATGTGCGTGCGTGCATGTGCACGTGTGCATGCACGTGCATGCGTGCGTGCGTGTTCACGTACACGTGCGTGCGTGCACACGTACACAGAATACATTGTACATATACATACTGAACCGAGAGCGCACGCCGCACTCGAGATTTCACCGCTTTTTGTGACTAAAGGCCATCGCACACCTACCCAAAAATCGGTCCGATTAAAAAATCTCTTCATCGTTTGTAAAATCGGCTCAGCGCGACGCTTTCCGATAAACACCCGCACACCTACGATAAAATGTGATGTCATAATAAACCTACGATAACATGTAAATGTCATGTGACACGGGCACGTTCAGCTATTGGCTGTTCAATATTTATCGTAGACGATTTTCCTGAGTTCACGCGCACACCACAAAATCTTGTCGGATTACACAAAATCGCTTCAAAATAATCGGTTCAAAATCAAACATGTTTGATTTGGAACGATCACCCGATAAAAATAATCGTAAGTAAAATTGTCTACAAATGAACGCGCACACCTACCCGATATCGGCTGATTTTTATCGGGCCGATGAAATCGCGTGAAAAATCGGCTGGTGTGCGACCCCCTTAATGACCCGGTGACCTGTGACATCACGCAACCCCTTGGCTAACTATGGACTCGCTTATAGTCCGTCACCGTGGCTTGGTGACCGAGACAAAATTAGTCGTAACATTACTATCAACCTTTTTCGTAGACTTGACAGAATTTTGTTTCATTAACTTGTGGAAATTTGGTTAAAAAAAATCCCTCCTTCCTCCCTCTCTTCTGCTCCTTCACTCTCTCTCCTCTCTCATATTCATATTATATATATCAAGAGCTAATAATACCTAGAGTGTACAACGGAAAAACGGGAAAATAGTGCTATTTCACGACAACATTATTTCTACTTTGCCTGCGAGTCTATAATAATTTCATGGTATTGCATTAAGCAGAATTCTTTGCTCTCTAAAACAAGACCAACCGCTTGTCAATACGATACTCCTAGGCGGAGATATCGGCTCCTAAACCTCCCCTCCCACATGCCAACGCCGCCTCGAATCCACTTCTGTCCCCATCCTTCACGCGTCTAAGCATTCGGCTATCGGTTTCCGTCACCGCTTTGGGCGCTGATAATTGATGTCACATGCCCAAATTTGGTACTCTTACTAGCTGCGTTGTAGAGACTTAATTAAAAAAACATTTGCCGGCTCCATCATGACGGGCATTAGCCGTGCTAGGAAAGATAATGGAGATAAGGGCATAGGCGATGCCCCCGAAAGTCACCTCCACCCTGCACCTGCACCCGAAAATCATTCATAAAATTATGGCGGAAAAACCGAACTCTCACGAAGCAACGCTTAGGCCGCTGAAGGATGGGGACAGAAGTGGATTCGAGGCGGCGTTTGGCAGTGGGAGGGGAGGTTTGAGGACCGATATCTCCGCCTGGAGTATCGGTATTGACAAGCGGTTGGTCTTGTTTTAGAGAGCAAAGATTCTGCTTAATGCAATACCATGAAATTATTATAGACTCGCAGGCAAAGTAGAATAATGTTGTCGTGAAATAGCACTATTTTCCCGTTTTCCGTTGTACACTCTAGGTATTATTAGCTCTTGATATATATATATATATATAGCATACACACACGTACACTCAGACACGCACGCACACTCGGAGAGAGAGACACACATAGAGGCACCCTCCTTCCGCACGCACGCACACTCGCATGCACGCACGCACACACAAACAGATACTCGGCTGTAAAGTGACAAAAAAATTAATAAAAATATAGAGTCATTTCATCAATGTTTGCACATTTTATTTTATTTTTATTTTTTGGTAATCGATTATTTATTTTTTATTATCGAGCGCGTAGGCGGTTGCTGCAAACGACTGACTTTCGATGTGGAACGTGGCTGCCACACTCACAATAAATGCGGCACACTATGAATGTAATAAACATGTGGGCTTGAGATTTGGTACTCAGACAGTCTGTGTTCATATATGTATAGTACGTTGTAACACGTGTGTGTACATGGCAGTCTGTGTATTTAACCATGGACTGTAATTAGATGCTAATTTGATCCAATATTGTCCATGGCTATCTTAGTGTTTTGTACCATCTACGTGTACAGTCTTTTGTCCATTCTATGCCATGCACTGTGTGTTGTACTGTTCGCAGCTGAACACCCCGATTCTAGTTTGGAGCTATTGGAGGATCTAGGGAAAAGAATGTCCTTTCATGCAACCGGATCCAATACCACTAGCAAGCAGTGTCAGTACCGGCAGAGCCAAGGTTGGTATCTAATTCCAATTCCAAAGTTTGGTATCCAATTAACATAATGTTGCTGTAGGCTTAGAATGCATTTTCAGTTTATTCCGGTCTGTGCGACACACAAAATTTTGATAGATTGTTCATTAGAAAATGCTCTTAAATGTGTTGGAAACTTAATATCTGTTTTGTTATAATGCTAATGGTACCACTATTTGTACTGTTCACGTTTTTCATGTCGAGAGCTGCAAATCACGATTTTCTTTTATGTATTTAATTCAAGGGGTTGGTGTGTGAATTGTTGCCCTACGAGTTCATTGAGAAATTCTGTCTGTGGGGTGGGGAAGGTACTGGGTACAATACTCGGTGTTCAAAATTCAAGGGCAAGTCAATGACAAATACTGCCTGCCTGCCAGTCCTAACTATGAAAAAATGTAACATTCTCAGTTGGCAGACAACCCCTGAAATTATGGTTGTTGAACTTGATGGTAACAGTTGATCCATTTTGGTGTAGTGACACAGCATTGCTGTTGGTAGTGCTTAGAGAATCGGTAAATTAGGTGTTAAATATACCACTATAAACTCAAATATACGGATAAAACACGGACTAATCACGGAAATGTTGCAAAACACACGGAGAGCCACAGACTATTACGGAGCTAATTAAAGTCCGTAGCAAAATACCCAGACTCCTACGTATTAGCTACAGACTTCTAACTGACTGTCAATTAATAATTATCTAATTTTGGAGAGTCTGCGTTTATTACATTATATACTAATAGTACGTGAATTTCCCAGCCAGCAGTGGGAGCTTTTAAAGCACACGCACGCACAAAGGCACGCACACGCTGATCTAATTTTATTAGTCGTGATTGCTATTTAGTATAATATATGGTTGATAATATATATATATAGGCAAGCCTAAGCGCGGAGCTCCCATTAAAATTTAAGATACGTACATTTGTACACGACAATAAGAGAGTGTTACTACGTAAGGTCAACTTGAAATGCCAGTGTAATTATAATACACAATTGATTTGGGTTTTATATACACATATATATGCGCACGCGCGTACACACATGCACGCACGCACGCACGCACAGACACATTGCACGCGCACACGCACATATATATATATATATATATATATATACTAGCAAATACCCGTGCTCTGCACGGAGTTGAATGTTTGGCCAAAGTCGACTATGGCATATTGTAAACCGGTAAATATTTGCGGCTGGTTTTTTTGCGGTTTTGGTAAAATTTCCTAAAAGATCTAAATTTTACCTTCTTTAAATTTGCGGACATGAAGACATCCCTTCAGTTTACTCGATGAAAACAGCAAAATTTAAACAGGGTTAGAGTAGTAGTAGATTGATATTAGAAGTTGGGTCGGTTATGGGGGTGGTGCTACCTTAGTCGTTTAAAAGATTTCCTTGTAGATGACTTTTTGCGTGAGAGTCCTGTTGTTGAAAAGGTCTTGTGATAAATGTTTGTCCACTTTGATCTAGATGTTGGAGTAGCTGCTGGCACGTGAAAAGGCAACATATAGCTGGCCGTGGGAGAACACAGGGGCTGGGAGGTAGAGTCCGAGTTTGTCGAAAGTTTTGCCCTGGGACTTGTTTATAGTCATAGAGTAGGCAAGTCTGATTGAAAATTGAATCCGCTGTAGTGTGAAGGGAAGGTTTGCGTCGGATGCGGCAAGTTTAACACGCGAGATGAGGACTCTTTGTGAGACATGGCTTCCAGTGAGGATTACGGCATCTAGAATATAGTCGTGGGGGTTCCTAATGTATAGTCTGGTGCCCTTGCAGAGTCCTTTAGTGATATCTAGGTTGCGTAATAGCATGATTATTGCTCCTGGTTTTAAAATGAGGCGGTGTGGAGGCATGCCAGTAGGAGTGATGGAGTGAAGGAATTCCATGGGGTAGTTGTTGGCCTCGTTTTCATCATGCGAGATGGTTTTGTCTGCACTGGTGTAGGTTTTGGACAAACCTGGTAGTTTCGTTATGACTTTAAATATTATAATTATGTAAAATATTATGTACCGTACGTAGGCCTAAACAGTTTTGGTGCGCGTGCAGAACCTAATGTCGGACACAGAAGAAAGAAGTGCATCGATAAATTATAAGATGACGCAGGACACACTATTTCTTCAATGCAAAGTCAAGAGCTAATTATAATATAAGAACCAATAAACGTGCATTCCTTGTTATCACTTCCACATATGTATATCAGTCTACAGTCACACGTACATGTACATCTCAGTTTAGTCACGTACGTACATCTCGGTCTACAGTCTGAGTCACATACGCACATCTCAATCTACAGTCACATACGCACATCTCAATCTACAGTAACATACGTACATATCAATGTACAGTCACATACGCACATCTCAATGTACAGTCACATACGCACATCTCAAATCTACAGTCACATACACACATTTCAACCTACAGTCTCATACGCACATCTCAATGTACAGTCATATATACGCACATCTCAAATCTACAGTCACATACACACATTTCAACCTACAGTCACATACGCACATCTCAACCTACAGTCACATACACACATTTCAACCTACAGTCACATACGCACATCTCAACCTACAGTCACATACACACATTTCAACCTACAGTTTCATACGCACATCTCAATCTACAGTCACATACGCACATTTCAACCTACAGTCTCA